TTTTAGGTTTATATTTTATGCATATGAAGGTCTGAATAGTTTTCTGGCTATTTCTTACATTCAGCTGTGTCTTTGTTGAGGAGAAATATTTTCAATTTTTTAGGAAAATTGGTGCTAAAGTGTTAAAGAGGCTTTTTTCAAATATTAAGCACCATCTCCGACTGTGATGTTAGAAAATAATTATTGTTCTCTTATTTTAGGCAATGGTTGCTAGAGGAGATCTTGGTGCAGAGCTTCCTATCGAGGAGGTTCCTCTTTTGCAGGTTGGATTAGTTTTTGATTGAACATTAAAAGATAATTCATCAAACATACTTTATTTACGAGTAAAGAAATGGAATTTATTTATTTAGCCAATTGTAGGAAGAGATAATTAGAACATGTCGAAGCATGGGGAAAGCTGTTATTGTGGCAACCAATATGCTTGAAAGTATGATTGTTCATCCAACACCAACCAGAGCAGAGGTATCTGACATTGCCATTGCTGTTCGTGAGGGTGCTGATGCCGTCATGCTTTCTGGAGAAACAGCTCATGGAAAGTAAGTTACTTAAGTTCTTACATGGGGATTCTAAAAGTTTTATTTTACATATTACTCTTCATACCTTCGTTTTTCCTTGTATGGCTGGCAAACCACCCCTTGTTAACTTTTCTAGTAAAAGTGGATGTCATTTTGTCTTATGCTAATAATAGTGATCTATATTGGAGTATTTGTTATATAGAAACTTCCCTTGACGTAATCTGGAAGGTTTATATGGATATTTTTGGATCCTAGTTGAAGTGAAGAAGAACTTGGGAATTATTTGTACCTAAAATCAACTTACCAAAACTCTTTGGGACATAAAACTAGAATTTCATATGTGCTACCTTGCTTATTCTTTGCTCTCGAGGGGGTAATTGTATGAACAGTGCAAATTACTCTACCTAAGTGCATTTTAGTAAACAGGTTTCACCTTCTTGCAGGTTCCCACTGAAAGCTGTTAAAGTGATGCATACAGTTGCACTACGAACTGAAGCAACCATATCTGGTGGTGAAATGCCACCTAATCTTGGTCAAGCTTTCAAGGTCAATTAAAATATTATATGGACTTTCCAGTTTCCATGTTTTATTCCTTTTTTCCCCTCTGTTTCTGATGCTGTATTTTACTTTGTTAACTATCAATTCTGACTGCAGTTACTTTTTCTTGTAGAACCATACGAGTGAGATGTTTGCATATCACGCAACAATGATGTCAAATACTCTTGGAATCTCCACTGTTGTCTTCACTAGAACTGGCTTTATGGCCATATTACTTAGCCATTATCGTCCTTCTGGCACCATCTTTGCCTTCACAAATGTGTGAGTTTGACCTATTCCTGAACCTGTATAGTTCCCGAATCTCAGTTCTTTCTCTGTCGTCTGTCTCATTCGTCTTTTGCTATGGCATAATAATGGTCTACCCTATTTGAGGCTGACTTGATGAAGATATTAATTCCATGTGGGATGATAATATCTATGAACTCAGACAGGCAACATTTCGCCCGTATTGTAATATCGATGTGAGGATTCAACCATTACTGGACTTTATGGTGTTGAAAGTTTGACGATGACTTTATTGGCCATGCAGGAAAAGGGTACAACAACGATTAGCCTTATATCAAGGAGTATGTCCCATATACATGGAGTTCTCAAATGACGCTGAAGACACATTTAAGAATGCTTTAGCTTTGTTGCAGGTAAGGTTTTACTTTAGTATTCATCATGGAAGTTCCCTTTAGTTGGCTAGTAACTATAGATTTAGTTGTTCATGAATGAAAACATCGTGAGTCCTAAACTTCAGTATACTTTGGAGTTTGGTTCATTTGATTATGCTGTTCTATTTCAAAAAGGCTGATTTTTTATATCGCATGATGAACTCGACGGTTGATGTACAGAAGCAAGGAATGGTGAAGGAAGGAGAAGAGGTAGCTCTTGTTCAGAGCGGCAGGCAACCCATCTGGCGATTCCAGTCCACTCACAATATCCAGGTCCGCAAAGTGTAGCAGCTTTCAAAGAGTGAGTCCATTTAACCGAGTTATATTCTTCGTGTTTTGCTTGAAAATATGCCTTCAAGGTTTAAACTACTATACCTTGTACCCTTTTCTAGTTAAATCGGTTCTTGCTCTATGAATTTTATTCACGATAGCCATTGATTTTAATTGAACTAAACTATATTTCTGCTTTTTAAGGGCAAACTATCATATTTGGTCCGTTTTAGTATCTAAACTTTCAATTTTTTCATAACCATACCTAGCGTTTAGTTTTCGTTTCATTTTAGTATCATACCGTTAAAAGCTTAACGTGTTTAGTACCGACGATATGGTAAAAGGAATTGCTTATTTGGAGAAATTCATTCGAATAAGGAAATACTGTCTCAGTTTTACTTTTATACATCACCAAATTTTATTTATTACAAATGGTTTACTTTCGGGGTAAATTAAACCAATCATCATTGAATTTTACTCTCCTATTTCACTCACTATATTTTAAATCACTCACTATATTTTAAATCCGTTTAATTTTGTTACTAAATTTAATACAATTAGCATTTTTGGTCACTTAACCGTTAAATATTTAATGGTGTTAAAACGATGCCGTTTTAGAAAAATAAAATTTTCACTAAAACGACATCGTTTTGTATCTATATAATAGCTCATTTATAACGTCGTTTAGTGAGAAAATGACTGAATGACAAAAAATGTTAATTGTGTTAAATTTAGTGAGGAAATTAAACGGATTTAGAGTATAGTGAGTGAAATAGAAGAGAAATTAAAAATCAATGATGATTTGGTGTAATTTACCCTTACATTTTTTGTTTTCCTCCTCCTAGTCCATATGCTATACAGAAGATTAGGACCGAATGGACACTCAAGTTCAAAATTTCATATATTAATTATATTTTATTGACTGTGGCATAAAAGGCTACAAATAAACTATTCTGGGATGAGATTATTATGAATTTAATAATTTTTATCACTCTATTATGTGATGATCATTAGCATGGAACTTAGGCAATATCTAATGAATTTTACTATTTTTGGTAAAACATTTTCTATTAATGGAATAATATTTCAATAAATTATTTATAAATTCTATTTTTGTATCGATAAAATGATTGAATAATAAGTTGAATTTTTTAATGCCCATTATAAACATTTATACAAAATCTACCGTTAAAGTTGAGTTATAACAACCCATGATCCAAAAATTGCCAGGTTATGCGGTAACTTACATCACTCTCTTTACAAAAATATTTTGAATATGGATAATCTACACGTTCAGTAATTAAACTATCATTTTTGTTCCATTTGAATCACTGGACTATATTTTTTTTAAAAATCATATCTCATGGTACGTTTTGGTGATTCGTCATTAAAAAATTATAGAGTTATTGATGTGAAATTTTTTTAATTTTTTTTAATATTGACACATCATTACCTTATGATGATATGTCAGTATCATCTTATTTTATAATGGTGGCCTAGGTGATTAAAATGAAATTAAAATACAAAATTAGGTATGCTTTTAAAATTAAAAAGATAGTTGGATGTTCAAATGGAACAAAATTAATAGTTGAGGAACTAGACATATAGTTTACCCTTTAAATATTTTAAAAGTATTAAATGATTTTTTTAAAAATAGGATAAACTATAGTATCGACCACTCAACTATGTAGTCCTTTTACTTTCGTCATCAATCTTTCAATTTTATTAATCAGACCACTTAATTATTTAAATGTATTCGATCAAGCCATTAGTCGTTAATGGTTAACGAAAATGTTGATGTGGCAGTTAAAAAATTAGAATAATTTTGCATGTAGTCCTTAATGTTTATATATTCTATCAATTTGGTCCTAATTTTAAATTATTAAATTTAATCATCTAATTATATTGTGACATGTGTCACAGCAAGAATAGAAGATATTTTTTAATTTAATTATTTTATTTCCACTCAATCATATGGTGACATGTGTCATCATCAAATTGGATGGAAAATTGAGAATAGAAGGAAAAACCAACAAATTAGGGGTACAAGAATTAAACTTGGGTAAGCATGGGTGTTAAGACAACACCCAAACCACCAAGCTAGGAGAAATGCTTGTATCAAGATGCAATATATATATATATATAATTCAATTTATTTTTAACAAATTTATAAAATTATTTGATAAATTTAATAACTATATATATATATATATATATGAGATTATTACTTCTTTTTTAACTTTTTTTCTCAATCATTAAATTTATTTTTGTAATTAAGTAATAATTTTAATTTTCTTATTAATAATTATACGTATATAAATTGATTTATTTTTATTAAAATATTTACAAAATTATTTTAGAAAATTTAACTCAAAATTATTTAAAAATTTAAATTATTTGATAAATTTAACAACAATTTATATGTATAATTATTAAATTATTTTTTAACTTAAATAACGATTCTTCTTTTTCAACTTTTTTTTCTCATTCATTACAATATGTTATACATATGTTGCATCTAGAAACTAAGTAGTGCTCCTAACTTAGTGGTTTGGATATTGGCATAACACCCATGCTACCCTAGGTTCAATTCCTTTAACCCAACTTAAGGTGTTTTACTTTTACTCTCAGTTTTCCATCAAATCCGATAGTGACACGTGTCACAATATAATTAGAAGATTAAAATTTATCAAATTAAATTTAAATTAAGGAATAAATGTATAATTACGTCAATTTATTTAACTACCACGTCATTATTTCCGTTAACTATTAACAACCAATGGCTTGATCGGACAAATTTAAATAGTTAAATGGTCTGATTGATAAAATTGAAAGATCAATGACAAAAGTAAAAGTACTACATAGTTGAGTGGTCAAAGTATAGTTTACCCTTAAAATTATTTCAAGGACCTAATAACAATTTTCCAAGTTTGAGGGTAATGATGGCTAGTTCCCATTACGTTCCGCCGTTCAACCGTACAAGCACGAAGAAGATATTGGTATGGAGTTTTAGTTTACAGTGGAAATCATTTCTTCCAGTTCATCTTCAAGAAGAAGAAAAAACTCCATTTTTATCAAATTATCAACCAAGAAATAATTAAAGGGAAACTATTAGCAAACTAAAACCTGAAGAAAAAAAATGTCTGCCCTTCATGTCTCAACGTTACTCATCACTACGCATGCCTCATCAACTCGTCCGAAATTCCCCTGTTTTTCACTTTTCCGAAAATCCCTATCGTTTCCCAAATCTGTTTCTCAATCTCAAAGGAGAATCGCAACCTTTGTTTCTTCAAAATCCTCGGAAGCCGGAGAGTTGCCGACGGCGGAAGATAAGTTGCTCAGCAGGCTCCCGGAGAAGAACAAGCCCCTTTTCTCTCACAGCTTGCCTTGCATTGAGTCATGGCTTAGGAGTCTAGGGTTTTATCGAAGCAGAGAGGAGCGTGCTGTTTGGTTGATTGAAAAACCTGATTGGCATGCCCGGTTATCTCTCGATGTCACTGATCTTTACATAAGGTAAACCAATGGATTTTAGCTGTTTGATTTGAGATGGGTTTCTTTGTTTAGTTTGATTGTTAACTGGGTTTTGAGAATTCTTTTAGATGGTGTAAAATTGGTACTTCTTCTCCTTCTAAATTAGAGTACATTAAAAAAAGGAAGAAATTTCATTGGTGCAATTGAATTGCAAACATTATAGCATATAAGTTTCTAGTGATTAATGTGAACTACCAGCAATAGGGGTTGATAATTACAAAATTCAGTTGACTTGATCAAGTTCCATTGAGCTAGAGAGAATGGCATTCGAATGCCGAATCGAGAACGATAGGGACAAAGTTTGGAAGGTTTAGTCAATTTCCACCTTCTACAAAGTGTTACCTGGATTGGTGATCACAATCATTGGTGCGAGGATGCAGGCCCTGCTTCTTGATTGCAAATCCATCTTAGAGTTCGACTTATGAGGTGAAAAACCATGAATGTCTCGTTTTAGCATAAATTAAGAGAGCGGGACAGAAGTCCAGAAAAGAAGACATGTTGGAAAATCGATGCTATTGGTTAGAGGGAGTGATCAATAAGAATTTGGATGTTATCTAATAACTATATGAAGCTTTTAGAGGAGGCTTAATTCTTTCCGGACCTTGGCGAAAATCGAATTCTTTTTCTTGTGTACCTTGGTTCTTAGGTTGGATCAAGCCATATCGTCTTCTGATACAATCTGTTATAAAGAACCATTTCTATTTACTGAAATTCGTTAAGATCTGTAAGCGCATTCAAATTTATTGCATTTGATTGCTTGATGATCTGAGTGGGGGAAAACTGGAAGGAAATGAATAAGTGAAAAGTGTTGCACGTCGTTCTTCTCAACTTTATCCGAATTTTAATATTTTATTCGGCTAAGAAGATTGTGTTATATGCTGCAGGTACTTGAAGAATGGACCTGGGAATCTTGAAAGAGATGTCGAAAGGCGATTCAGTTATGCGTTGAGTAGAGAGGATATCGAAAATGCAATACTTGGAGGACCATAAAGACTTCCGAGTTAGTTCCTCCTCATGTATAACTTTCGATCAAGTAGTTGCATAGTGTTTAAGATGTCAGTTTATCTACTTCCTGAGCTTTTAGGGTATCATAGCACCTTTTCTCCCGTCATCCATTGATATTACGATCCTTGTTTCCTATCTTCCTAGTTATATTTTATGTTTAAATTCTGTTTTGTGATAATTCCAGCAAACATACAGTACATATAGTCATCTGTTCCGAAACAGCTTGAGTGTTAGTCAGAGTTAGGGATGGGCATGGGTCAGGTTTCGGCCAACCTGATCCGACCCGAAAATTTTATATCCTTCATCCGACCCAACCTGACCCGAAAAATATATACCCTCCACCCGACCCGAGCCCGACCCGATTTTTTGAGAGAATCCGACCCCGACCCGAACAACACCTTTAAAAAAACCCGACAGACCCAACTTGAACCAAATTTAAAATAAAAATCCGACCCGATTGGATCGAGTCGAAACTCGTCGGGTTTGGGTCCCATGCCCATCCCTAGTCAGAGTTATGTACATCCATTTCAAAAAAGGCCTGAAGGTAAGCTTAGGGATGAGCATGGGCCAAGTTTTGGTCAACCCTATCAAAAAATATATACCCTCCACCCGACCCGATTTTTTGAGAGAAAATCCGAATCCGATCAGACCCGATCCAAAATAATAAAAAATATTATTTTTATTCAGTAAAAACAGTGATTTAATTAAAAAAATAATATATATAGGGGTATTATTATAATTATTCCTAAATATATAAAGTAAAATTATATTTTTTTCGGGTTAGGTCGGGTATTTTTCACCCTAAATCCGACTCAACCCGAATATCACCTTTAAAAAATTCAACCCAAACCCAATTTATTTTTTTAAAAAAAAATCTGACTCAATTGGGTCGGATCAGAATCTGTCAGGTTCGGATCCCATACCCATCCCTAGGTAAGCTCATCCTTCAACAAACAGTATCTTATTGTACTCTGCTTTTCTTTACAATGCCTCAACATTCAACAACTTGAGGTTCATTCCGTGAATAGTACCATAAGTGTCGAGATTCGGATTCTAACCTCGAGTAAATGTGGGGGGTTTTCTCATTTCATAGCTTTAAGAACGCAGCAGCATTGAAGTTCTCAAGTTGAATCTTCAAAGAAATCAAGAGAGTATCATGCATATATAATAGTTTTTCCCATGTCGTTCTCTCGTCTTGCCACAGCTTCCCTCCGAAGCCAACCCCTATACCTGCCTAGGAGTTACGACCGAATCCAGGCAGTCGCATGTCGTATACGGAAATCATTTCTAGATTCAAGATGCACTTGAAATTCATTTCGGTGAATAAAATACAAATAACGGTGAAATATAGAAATACACATGGGTGAAAATATACATATAATTAGAGGTATGTATGAAAACATGTTTAGAACAAAATATCGGTAATACATATACACAAGTAGTAGTAAAAAACGTGTCACCCAAAATATAATAGAGATAGGCGTAATAAAATGTACAGTTGTACAAAAATGGAGAATGATCGATCCTACTGATGTCAAGTCTGTTAGCCTACTGATAGATAATATATGAAAAGTAAAAATTAAAGAATGAGCTAAAAAGTCCAGTATATTCCTTGTGGTGTACAGAAACAAACATAAAATATTTCGGTAAAAGTGAAATTTAAAATATGTTTTGAAAACATGAACACTACCCCATTCGAATACCAGAATGTGTATGTTCCCTTGAGCCATACACCAACTTGTACACTCGATAATGACCTTATACTGATAGTATAAGAGCCTGTGGTAAGTGTTTACCATGTGCACAAAGCAGAGGATCCTGCGGTAAGGTCATATAAGTCATATACTAAGCCTGGAATACTTCCTCCAATCATACCCCAATTATAGTAAACATGAATGTTTCTCGGTGAAAATAGTGGTTTAATTCTTTGAAACATGAAAACATTACATTTTTCAGAATTTTTCAGAATCAGATACAAAAATATTATAACCAGATATCATACTAGAAATATACGGTAAATCATTTATCAAAGGTCAAAGCATGCAGTAAAACAGATGTCATGTAGTCAGAATATTTAATAAAATGAAAATTTTAAAACAGTTCAGACATATATTTTAAAACAATATCGCAATACCAATAGGAAAACACCTGAACCGATCTGAGAAGTCTAGAACGGTAGCCTACCCTTAGTTTGCCTACCACGGCCAACGGTAGTGCTAGTTCCTACGAATCGGAATAACTGAATCAGCATCCTAGTAAAATAAATAATAAACTCTTGAAGAACGTGAACAGTACTAATCAACCGAACGAGAATCATTGGATCTAGTCGACCCTCATCAGAGGAACCACGAGTACCTTCATGAAAATATAATCCAAGATCAAGTCTATAATCAAATCCCAAATAAATAAATAAAAAAAACTAAAAATACTTAGCATTTTTGGTTTAATAGGCTCGATTCAGAGCTTTCGGTTTGGAATTTGGTGAAACGAATTGCAATATCGGACTCAGGATGTCAAAAACGTCAAGAAGGGGGTTTTCGAAAAAAGTCAATGTCGGTCAACAATCAAAGTCAACAGCGGTCAACGGTCAACACTGATTGATGGTCAACGGTCTTGGCCCGACGCGACTTAGCTCGGCACGACTCGGCTCAACTCAACTGGACTGGTTCAATCCGATTAAAAAATGGACATGTCTGGTTGGGCCGGTTGGGTTTGGGTTTAGGCCAGACGGGTGCACAGGTTGGGTTGGATTCGTGTATAGATCGGATAGGGTCAACGGGTTGGGTACAGATCAAGTCAACGGGTCGGGTTGACCTGCTTTCAGGTGGTAGACGATCCCCACTCGCACAGACAACACGTGGGGGCGTGTGCAACGACTTACGACAACGAAAAAATTACCAAAAGTTCTCTAAATTCATTTTAAAGTGTTTTAAGGCACTTACATACCTCGGTTCACAACGGTAAACAATGGATGGCCTGATTACGTTTCGTCTGAAACTTGTTTATGCTCACCCCTTCACACGCCGACGAGTTTAAAGACGAGATGAACAACGATGGACTCAAGACGACGCATAGAATCCAATGGTGAGGGTTGTGATGAAATCGAAACAACGATCGGTGGTGAAACGATGCTAAAAGGATTTTGGCCAAAAGTTTCCAAAAAAAAATGAAGGTTGAAGAGAGAGAAAGAGTTTTTGAGTTTCCAGAAATGGAAAATTAAGTATTGGGAAGATTTTAAACTCACCCAAAAAGAAAAATGACAAACTCATGTCATAGGTCCTTTAAGTCTTAGAACTTTCAAATTTCGATTTGAATTTAATTAAAAATTCATTTTGATCCCTGAACTTTAACCGAAATTTAATTTAGTCCTCAGAATTAAAATAAAAAAAATCTAAGCCCACCAATAAGTAATAGAATGTTTTCAGACCCTCTACCGGTGAGGTTGACTTGGTCTATTCCACTAGCACAAGGCTGTCCTCGTTAATCAATGTAATACCGTCGGTCTAATTCACAACTTTTGTTTTGCTCAGAGTGTACATTAGTCTTGTACTTATAAACACAATCATTAATAGGATATTAATTTAGTTAGAAAACACTGAAAATTCTTTCTTTAAATAATTATTGGGATATTATATTATAATGTTGTTTTTGAATTTTTAAATTTTTATATAATTTAAAAAAACAATTAAAATTTTTATATAATTCCTTTAAGAAGGTAGAATTGTTGGTGCAATAGATCAAAATGTAGGTTTTAATACATGTGTTTACGAATCTTATACGATTTAGATTCGGGCAAAGTATATAAATAGCCCCGAACTTTTAGGTTGCTTGCATTTTTGGTCATCAAACTTTTAAAACTTACAATACAATCATCAAACTTTGAGTTCGTTTTCGGTACCCCTGCTCTTCTAGTTGATCGAATTCGATCCCACCATGTCTAATCTCTTTGGCAGAGTCAAAATTTCCATCTGTTATATAGGAGAAACTGCTGCGGTTCTGTACCATTTACTTCGTCTGGAAAATGTTTTGGATCATCCTCCGAGGTGATTCCTGCGCTGCATAATCTAACTGAAGCAACTCATTAGAACTCAGGCGCCATCCGAGAGCACCCAAAATTTCCTCCGCTTGTTTCACCGTTTCCAGGTATCGGAACAGCACCGTTACAGATGCACCAGTTTATTGCTACCTGCAAATGGCAATGTGATAAAAACCAATATATTCCATATGTCTACTGGCTTACATATCAACAGTTTTGAAACAAAGTTGACATTAGAAGTACCTGAGGTATGGTTTTGCCCCGTTTTCGTGCGATTTCTCGTAACACGAGCAAGGGCTGTAGTCCAGGAAGAATTTGCTTAAACAGAAGGCCCCTGTGAGGAGATAACAAAGGTTATCATGAAGTAAGCACTCAGCTATGAATTGAAAGGAGCCTTCAAATCTCTTTACCATGTATCCCTGAAAGTAATGAACTGAATCATCTCTATTACCTGGGTCCTTGTGGAAGTCTGGACGGCGTATATTTTCCGGTAAGCATTCCGAGACCAAGCGGACTGTGGGAAATCAAGCGGATATCAAGAGAGTCGCAAATATTCTTAATCTCCATCTGTTCTTCTCCCGTGCTTAGAAGAGAGAATTGAACATGTAATCCAGATAAACCTTCAAATCACAAGAACCACCAAAATGAATTGTATTTGGGATGGTTTAACTTTGTAAAGTAACTAAACATGAAAGGCGAACAGGCATAAGAGGGAAATGCAATCAATCGGAAACTGGTTCTTCGTTTTTACTACACGAAACACAAACTACACTTCTCGTACCTGAGCTGATCATAGAGGGACTCCTCGAGCTTTAAGGTAATCATGAATCTTTACAAGCCGCTTCGGTCCATAATTGCTAACTCCAACACCTTTAAATAAGCCCTGCAAATGTTTATCCGGTTCAAGAACGAAAGCTATACCATCTGAACTACAGAACAAGAAGTATGATATGCAAAAACAGGATATTCTTCTTAGAATCAAGTTAATTATAGGACAGGCTTTCACATATGCAACATGTAGAAGTAATTCATGGTTAACCTTCTCATACATTGCCACTAAACCATTCCAAA